ACTAAACTGACAAACACTTGGACATCTTGGAAATAGAGGAAACGAGAGCTTTAATAGCGCGCTTTTGTTGTGTCTGTGCATATTGATAAAAGAAGTTCCATCCGGAACGTTTTAGGGATACAAGATAGCTAGTGTGATTAGAGTACAAACAATCTGCTTTTTCTGTCACCTTGAATGTAATCGCACACTTAGTCACACTGAACATTGCCGTAATCGCTTTTATCAGATGGAAACAGAGTATAATGTTTTCTTCTTAACAGTGATAGACAATTCTTTTCTACAACGAAAAATAAATGTGCAATAAAAAAATTACTGACTCAATTTAAATGCCTTTGAAGACCACGTTTCGTTGAGTACCTATGCACTATGTTCCCCGAAAACGACCCGTCCACCAATGCAACTTTTTAGAGAAACGTTGGTAAGATACCAATAAAATATAATTCCTTTTCAAATCCTAATATGGTGTATTTTGAAAACATCTCTGATTTGAGATGCATTTACAAAGTTGGGAAAGACTCTGTAACGTGCAAAACCGCAATCATAATACTTACCTTAATTTTTTAGTCTCCTCCATTTGTCGGGAAAGGTTTTCCAATTTAGTTTTCAGTACTGTTACCTCTTTCTCTGCCTTATTTTTGGCATTTCTTAACTCATCTTTCTGCAAGTTTGAGTTTACTGCATAGGTGCAACTTTTCAGAAGGATTTAATTGCTATACCTCTGCAGAAACACGATTGAGCTCCTCAGTGAGAGAAGAGGCAGTACTCTGAAGACTTGCAGCAATTTCCTTCGTAGATTTATGCGCAGCATCCAGTTTTGTTATCTAAATAAGCGTCCTCAAAATCTAACACCAACCTCCTAAGTGCAAATGGGAAAACTACCTCGTTTTGGTTGTTCTCGAACTCTTGCTTATTTTTCCTTAGCTCCTCATCCTTTTCGCTCAGTTGTTTACGCAAATTTTCGACAAGTTGCTCTTGCTCCATCTGCTTCTCCTTTGAGCTTGTCGACAATCTAAATGTTCAAAATTACACATCTCAAAAGAAAGAGTGCATGCAGAAGACAGTTTATGTACCGAGATGATTTGAGCACCGCAAAGAGACGCACAACTACATTTTTACAGCGAAAGCTTTTCCTTTTGCTTATTTCCGCTCATCAATATGATAACTGCCCATGTGACCATGTATACCACAACTTAACCCTATCTGACACCTGCGAGCGGTGATATGGCGACTTTTTGAAAACTTTGGCATTACGAATTTTGTTAAGCTATGGTTTATATCTTCTTCTTTGACTATTAGCAACTTTGCAAAAACTTCATATATCTTCCAAGCTCTACGCATTACAATATACTCAAGCTAGTTCAAGACCGAAAAAGAGTACTGTAAAATTTTGACCAAATTTCTTAGATTTTTGATCTCCATCGCAAAGTATGCACCATCTAGTGCAAGAGCCAATTTGAGCATACAAAACGAGAATCAACTGAATTTTGACATGTTGCAGTCTTACTCCCCTAACGATTTAGATGACTAGGTTTCCAAAATTTATGATCAGTGTTTGACTTTTGTTTTGGATAAAGGCTTTACTGGTGCAT